TTATACGACGGCCAGGAATCTGGGCTTGACGATCCTCAAAGTTCCCAGACACCCAGAAAAAATCGTCATCGTTTAAATCTTTATCCGGTGTATATTTTATTATCTTCTCTCGGCGACGGCGTATTCTTAAATAGTAGACCCACCCATCTTCTTTTGATCCCAAGGAATATTGATGGAATATTTCGGCTAGACCGAGGTTAAGACCGGCTTGGCGGTTTAATTCGGCTATTCCCATTATTATACGGTATGAATTGGTGGAAAGCTGGGTTGGGCATAGTCGTGTTTGTCTAAGGAATTCACAAATTAATGGATGGACTGGGAATCTTAGTCCGGTTTCTATTATTGAAAGGAAAAGGTACGAAGCCCTCGTTCCCCCATGGCGTGACATCTTTTTTGGCTAAGACAAGTTGTACGTCGTCAGGGATGTTGTAGTCCTTACGGAATTCGGCCAGGCCTCTAGGGGTTTCTACCAAAAACCTATACTTCCCCATTTATTTTTAAATTATAAATTAGTTCGGTCTGAAAATGGTGCTCAGTAGCTCGGTTGAGCGCGCAGAGGAGTGCCTGGACAACCTAAGTCTACAAAGTGGAAAACAAAGGTGTTAAGCACAGATCGCTGACTGTGCTACAAAATCAAAGTAAAGATAAAGAAGTCCTACTTCGACTGTGTGGGATACTACAGGCTCTATCTCGGTTTCTGCAGGGTAGTTGGTAGCTCGGTTTGAGCAGGGTTTTTTATTAGCTCGGCCTTTGCAAGCGTCTCGATATCTCGGTTGTGAAAATGGTTCTGTTAGACCGGTTGATCATCTAGGGGCTGAGCTGGGTAAATGGACCGTTTTGGACTGCAATACGAAGGGCTAAGTAAAAGGGCCATGTAAGTCACTCCGGTCGTATGGATATTTGGAAGTTAGTCCGGTCTTAAAGCCGTGAATCTAGTCCGGTCCGACGGAAGATCGAAGTTAGATCGGTCTAACGTTACTGCGAAGTTAGACTGGTCTTGCAGTTACACCGGTCATGACTTGTTAGTTCGGTCTAACCACGCCATGTGTTGTGCATGAGAAGCCGACGTAAGAGCAGTAAAAAGAAGAGCTAGTTCGGCTTATTCTGCGGTTGTGCATAGTCATGTTTACTTCGGTCGTATTGGAGTTCAGCCGAGATAAAACCATCTCACTTGGTTTAAGCAGTGAGGGGGTGTTGAAGGATAAGCATTATCTTTCAGGAGTATGAATCCTAGGGGAACTCTACATGAAGGAGTAGAAGTTCTACTAGGATTGTGCCACACGAAACCTATAAAAGTTCACAAACATCACATTTGGAGAGGTAACACACAACTTGCTTTCTGAATACACAGAGTTTTTGTCTATTTGTCAAGCTTACTGACTTAGGCATCGGAGAGGTTTCCAGCACACACCCGGCGGCTAGCTCACGTTTGTGTTTTCAGGTGATAAAGCGACGACGTACAGAGGAGCACAGACTTAATCAACAGGATTATACGAGAAGGTTTATTTCTTTCCCGTACAACTGACAGACTTACAAAATATCTACAAAAATCTTTTTTGTCTTTTCTTGGCGTGCATTTTTCTGATATCTGAGGAAAATCTCTATCTTCTATGGATTTTGTCTTCTTTTGACGGAGAGCCAATTATTGATGCTGACCCATGGAGTGATGCTTCTAGGCGGGTTCTCGAATGTTTTACAAAATTGAAAAAGTCACGTAAAAATACTTTTTTAAAAGATTATATGAGTCTTGCAGTGGGATCCCTTTTTTTTTTTTATTACTTTTTTACTTATACATTCTGTCTGCTAGGTCGTCAAGTGTTCTAAACACGTAAAATATTTTAATAAATAATTAAATACTTTATTATATTCTCTTACACTTTGACTAATGAACGGTCCTGAATCCAGACACTACATTCTTTGACTAATGAATGGTCCTTAATCCTGATACTACATTCCAGAAGTTTTATGATCAGTAAAGAATTTCTTTATAGGGTATAAAAGAATTAATAATTTGTATTTAGAAAAATCTCCTACAAATCAAATGTAGGACATAGGCCAATTATCATGTTCATTCCGTTTTAAAATGTCAATTTTTTATTTTATTTATTATATCAAAATATCAATTTTTTTAAAATTAAATATTAAAATAACATAAATTTTATATTCTGCCATTCTTTTAAATTTATTAACATTAATATACACATAAAATATAATTATGACAATTGATATTTATAAATAAAAAAAATCAAAGGATATTTTGAAAAGTTAATCAGTGTGTTTGGTTTCAATTATTTAGAAATTGAATTTTTTATTTTTAATGAATATTTTTTAAATTTTTAGCAATTTTTTTTACTTTTTTATATGCACCTTACTTAAATATACCTAAATAGTAAAATATTTGTGAAAAAATATTTTAAAATTTTAATAAATACACAAAAAAAATGAAATATATATTGAATTTTATATTTTTTATATTTAGTGAATTTTTTAAATATTTTTTTCACAAATATCATACTCTTTATGTATATTTATGTTAAGTGTATCTAAAATTTTTTTTACAAAATTGCTTAAAATATTTTAAAAATTGAATGAAAACAAAAAATACATGAAAAACGAAAAAGTAAAATTTTTTGAAAAGTAAATTCTAGAAATGGAAACCAAACAAAAATGTAATAATTGTATTATCAAAAAAATTTAAATTCTCCAAAAAGAACTAATATTTTAGATCAAAGAGAATATTAAAAAAATATTAAAGATTTTTAAAACATGTTCTAAATTTAATTACTTTTCAATTCTCTCTTTTTAATGATGTGATAAGGCGATGAGTTTTAAATGGTTACTTTTTTTTTTTAGATGGATTAAATGGTTAATTTTTAAACTAACAAATAGTTGATATAAAATATTTTGTATCATTTGAGTAAATTTAACAATTCTTTGTAGGGGACTCAAGTTTTTGTTACTCTATTATGCCACGATTTTAAGTAATTTTTTAAATTTTATTAATATGTCCTCTTAAAAAAAATTATACGATCTTTTTTATTATATGAACTTTATATAGTTTTCTATGCATATATTTAAAGACACGAATTAATAAGCCTTGAAGTTTTAATCATAGTTAAGACAATTATTATCAAATCAAATAATGCTTTTTGTAATGAAGTACAATACTGAATTGTTCTGAATAACTAATGATCATTGCAATCATCTTCAAATGGAAAAACTAATAATCAACGCATTGATTAGACTTAATTGTTAGAGTAATGACTAGACGGAAAATTATTCAATAATTGTGGGAAAATAAATTTATGTGCATAGAAATTAAGAAGGTTATGTCACGTTTTGTGTTTAATTCTTATATTTTTAGCATTACTGTTCTTAGAACATTGCTAAGTGATACTCCAAATTAGTAATTATTAATTTAAACTATAAGATCCGTTATTTTTATATTAAAATTATAAGAGATAATTGATCTTATATTTAACTTGTAAATAAAAAGAAATAATATTTTAACAGCGTTGAATAATTATCCAAAGAAACGATACTCTAATGGAATAATTTTTCAAAAAAATGATACTCAAATTGCATTGAATAATCTTCCATGACTAGACATATATATCATTCTATTACCTTGGTATTTAGGTAAGAGGACATCAAATGTAGTTGTGATTTGTTAGCTAACAGTGTACTGCCGTCTTGTCTGATAATTGAGGATTAGGAAACGTACAATTATTTAAATATTAATTATAATATGAAAACATAAATTAAGAACCCATAAAAATAAGATAAATTTATATACATCAACATAATAGAAGATAGGACATGAAAAATTAAATAAATTGCAACAAAATGAGACTAAACATTCTTATTTTAAAATTTATTCATTTTAACTCGAATTATCAAGTAAGATCTCTTTTTTTTCATTCTAATAGGTGAGATGTTGGGCTATAGAGTGGTGGTTAGTAGTGATTATGGTGAGAAATAAAGAAAAATTAGATTTTGTAATCATGGGAATGGAAGAGACATATGTATTGAGAAGATTTTTCACTTAAGTATTGTGTTTTTTTAACGGATAGAGAATTGATCATAAAATCAATTACACAAAACAATTATAACATGTATGTATGTTATAATTATTTTATGTGATTGGTTATGTGGTATACGGTAAGGGGCGGATGTATCTTTTATTTTTATTTTTCAAAATTCTATGAAGTCTTTTTTTTTTTTTGGTTGGAAATATTAGGAAAATTACAAAAAAAAATTAAAAATCATAAAACAAAAATAGTTTTGGATTGTTTGGAAATTGGAACCATGTGAACCATATTCCCTACCTTACTAGTAGGAGTCCAGATTCACTACTTGCACTCTCTTCTTGCATTCCTACTTGCAATGGTGGAGATGCACCTTAGGATGATCCAACGGTTTAAATCTGATTATTTCAAAAAATAATTTTTTTTTTTTAAATTTTAAAATAGCCAAATCTAAACCATTGGATCATTCTAAAATGCATCTCCATCATTGCAAGTAGGGAGACAAGGAGAGTGTAAATAGAGGATCCTAATTCTACTAGTAGTACTAGAAGAAAAGCCTGCATACGTCCTTTTTCGTGCATTTTTTGAAAGGAAGAAAAAAAAATAATTTTTGTTATTGTTGTTGTTTTTTTTTTAAATGTGTAAAAATGTAAAGTAATGGTGTGACTCACATAAATACAAATTGATTTTTTTTCTAATTGTCAAATTAACAAATAAGTTATAATTTGGCCAAAAAAAAAAAATAGTTGAGTTTGTAGAGTTTGGGAACTTTTTTTTAAGTTAAAATTAAAAAATTCGTTTAAATTAATTTTTAATTTTTTTAAAAAAATAATCATAATTTAAATATAATATTTTATCTTATTAAATTTTTAATTATTATAAAAATTATAAAAGAATAAATATAATATTTTTTTAATTTTTTAATTAAAATATATATTACTAACTAATTTATTCCCAGCCTAACGCATCCCAACCCACGTAGCTAAAGGAGCCAGTCAATGAGCCGAACTGTTCCTCCATTCCATTCCATCCCTCTCCATCTCTTTCCATCTCTCTCTCTCTCTCTAAAGCACACTCTTTATTTCTCTCTCTACACTGCTCTGAAGGCACTGAATCAATCTTCTTCTCCTCATCATCACCATCTCTCTACCCTTCTCAAGCATTCAACCAACAGGTACTTCTCACAATTTATTACTTATTGGGTCTTTCGAATTAAAAAAATGCGAGCTTGAGAATGTTCTGTATGAGTCACACATGCATTGATTATCAAATCATTGCTTAGTTAATTCATACTGATTATCAAATCATTGCTTAGTTAATTCATACAAAGTTGTCACATTTATGTTAGGTAATTTGATATTTTATTTTTTTATTCTTTAATTTTTCTCGAATGATCACCCATTACGATACTCATTGATGTGGCAGTTCAGTATTTGAATTTTGAAAGATTCTTTTTTTTGTCAAAAATTTATTTTATTTTTGCTTTTTAACGCAATTATTGCTTGAATTACTAGTATATTTATATTTTCTATTCAATTCATTGTTCTGGGTTTTAATTTTTTAATTTTGTACATTTAGGTTCCAACGGTTGTTTGAGAGATCTAATGCTCGCTTTCCTCTGTTAGCTGTAGTCGAATGGTCTTTCCTCACAAACTCATAAATTGTTTAAATTTTATTTATTTTTTGTTTTAACTTTTTTTTTTTAATTTTAGGGTTTTTTGAGAAATGCAAATGTGGGTAATTTTTATTCCAATTTTGATCATGATATGTATGCACATTCATACATCCTCTAATTTCCCTATGCATATTTCCTAAATTTTGAGCTTGTTCAATTATTGATATATTTTGAGCAATCGGTATTAACTCTTAAGGCATGTTTGTTTGGGTGGACATGAGCTGGGTTTTGGGCTTCGGTCAACTGTCATTTGGTAAATCTGAAAATTTGTGGTGTGAAAAGCATTACTGTCAATAGGTAACCTTTTACTAACTTCAATTTCTTCTTTAGTGAAGTTTGGTCTTTAATTGAAGTTGTACATCTGTTTTGTTGCTCATTATCCAGATTTCAGAAATCAATTATCAGATGGGGACTTAGTTTTTCTTAATTATCTACAATATGCAAGACTACTATGCTAATTTTGTTTGCTTTTCTTGTTTATATTTGCAACTACCACACCCAAATTTGTTGCAGAATCTGTTTTTATGTATATATATATATTTTTTATATATTTTTTCTAATGAAAAATTGGGAGATAATTTTGTAGTAATACAGGATTGTTGGGATTTCAGTAGAATGGCCATGCAAACAGCAACTCTTCCTATTCCTCCCACTGCTCAAGTGGTTGGAAATGCTTTTGTCGAGCAGTATTACCATATTCTTCACCACTCACCGGAGTTGGTTCACCGGTTTTATCAAGATTCAAGTGTGCTAAGTCGGCCAGAGACCAATGGTGTAATGATGTCGGTGACGACGATGAAAGTAAGTTTATTATAGACTTCTGTTTGAGTTATTGATGTTATCGTCTTTAGATAAATTATTTACCAATAAAATTGTAATATGGAGGCATATGCTTTTTTTAATTTTTTATTTTATACTTTTAATACGTTTGTAGATTTAATTTAGTGGTAGCATTTATGGAAGTAATGAGGGAAAATAAATTAAGATGTTTTGCTCATAAACAATAAAGACTGATGATGTACTAGTTAGGAAGGGTGATTTTATCCAAATTGATGGTAATGCTAGGAGGTGAGGAGACTGAAATTATCATGGGATGAGATAATGCAGAAAGACATGTTATCTAGTGGTTTAACTAAAATTATGGCTCTTGATTGAGCAAATGGTAAAACAGTTCATGTATCCAATCCAAGTTGAGTTGAGATGAGGTTTAGTTGTGTTGAGTAACGATATAATTTATTATAGCTGATTATCTTTGGTGGTGATGATACTTTGTTGTACCAAAAGCTATATAAGCACCACAAATATTGCATCCCCTGCTACACTTGGTGTTCTTTTTGCCTGTGCCATCTATTGGCTACCATGTATTGAAATCCTGGAGACAACTTCCCATTCCCATGTGTTGTTCCAAATTTTCTGATGGCTAAGGCTACTGCTGAAATGTTGGTATGAGGGTCGCGTACATTGTTCTTAAAACATTAAGCCAGTTTGATTCTAGATGGATGCTCACTCAAATTCAGGCTCATTCTTGTTAACATGTTAACGATGGGGTTTATATTAGATTCATTAATAACCAGTGCAACAAAAGGAGCAAAGTAGCTCCAACTTTGCAGAACCACATCCCATGTCAGTTTAGGTCTCTCCTCCTCGAATTTTTTCATTTATGATGATGGTATAATTCTTGTTTATAGTTTCATCTACAGGTGTTTGTTGTATAACATGTCTAAATACTCTTTTAAGTTTTTATAGTGTACACTATTCCTCTGACTCTTTTTTTGGATTTTGTTGATACTTTGAGTGGTTGATCAGTGAATAGGGATATATATATCTTCCTCATTTTTGTTTCATACACTGGTGGTTCTCCTCAGCATTGTATAATTTAGTAAATAGTGTCTTTCTTGTTAATAACTCAATTCTGATTATACATCCATTCATTCGAGCAGGGCATCAATGACAAGATTTGTTCCTTCGATTACAAGAACTACAAGGCAGAGATAAAGACTGCAGATGCTCAGGAGTCTTTCAAGGATGGGGTGATTGTTCTAGTCACTGGGTGCTTAACTGGAACAGACAACATAAGAAGGAAATTCGGACAAACTTTTTTCCTTGCTCCACAAGACAAAGGGTACTTTGTCTTGAATGATGTTTTTAGGTATATGGAAGATAGTGATCCATTGGAAAGTAATAAGGTGACAGTTAATGGAATGCATGAGGCCCCGTTAGCTCCCCAGATGCCTGATCCAGGTAAGGTGTACTTTGGATTTTCTTGTTCAATTAATTTGAAATTATGAGAAAGCTTTTGGCATCATCTTCATTTTTGTTTCTAGAGTCTGTTCATGTTTTTGATCCTCCAATGGTGGAGGATTCTACAACTTCTCTCATAGAGGAGGTTCAAAATGTTGAAGAGAAAGCTCATGATCCAATGGACAATGAGAGACAATTGTTTTATGAGAAAGAAGTGATTGTGGATCCTGAACCTCTTTCAAACAAGAATCACCTCCCTGCAGTTACAGAATCAGCTTCATCTACTGCCCAAGAGGATACTCCAAAGAAGTCTTACGCGTCAATTGTAAGTTCACAAACAAAGAAAGGGGGTTCAGGGACTATTAAAGTTTATGTACCAGCTAATACTTCCAGAGTGGCTCATACAAAGACTGTGAAACAGACTCTGGGTTCAGTAGCACATGCTCCAATGCCTGAAGCATCGTCACCTAGTGCTTCTGGTAGCGTCAATGCCCTTGAAAGTGGGAATGCTCAGGAGGAAGGTAGTGATGCTTTTTATTACTTGCTGTTTCAAACCACAGAGTGACCCTCTGTTTAAAAACACTGATGCTTTTTATTACTTGTAGTTTAAACAGTGTGGCCTTCGCTTCTCAAAAACTTGTTTTGTTGAAGACACGTATACATGAAAACAAAATTTTGTGCATCTATTCTTTTATGCCAAAATGAAATCATATTTGAGATGCGAAGACTGTGTTGGAATGATTTGGTATCATGAAACTAGCTCTCCTGTTACTTCTTCCTAACTCTTGCATTAAAATATGTTGCATTTTTTAGTAGTTACTTTTACTTTTAATAGTTGAGGGTCACTCCATTTATGTCCGGAACTTGCCTCTAAATGTGACGGTTGCTCAGCTGGAGGTGGAGTTTAAGAAATTTGGACCAATTAAGGAAGGAGGTGTCCAAGTTAGAAGTAACAAGGTCAGATTTATACAAGTGATTTTGTATTATGTATTGTTCTTCATTTGATACAGCATTTGCTTCAATGACCTTCCATTGAGTTTGTTTTGTTTCTTTCTTGTCCAGCAACAGGGTTTCTGTTTTGGCTTTGTTGAATTTCTAAGTTTGAACTCCATGAATAATGCAATTCAGGTGTGTGTTTAATAAATTATCAACTTCCAATTTTTCTGTTGATTTTCATAAATTTTGGTTAGTATTACTATTAGGATACAAGATTTTTGTTTCTTCTTCATGCGTGTGCAGATATAATTCTTAAGTCCAAAATTAAATCTTTAGCCATACTATTTGGTGCACGTCTTGATTTGGATGCCACTGTCTCCAAACCAGGCAACCCAAAAATTGGTTGCCACATCAGCAAAACACAAAAATGACTAGTTAGATTGAATTTTGCTCCAGTGCAAGTCATGTGAAGAATGATGGTATGGTAAGCACATATTGATTTCTACTTGCCATTGAGGTGTGGCAGCTTCGACGCCAGGCGGATACTTTAGCTTGTTAATGTAATCATTAGTGCTTTATTAATTTTAATCCAGCTTGATATGCACAATGCGTTGTTTTCCATGTCCAATAGATACATTTCATTTTATGGGGATATTCTATTCCGACCATAGGAGACTTGAGAAGAAGTAAATTTAAAGAAGAGGGTGTGGGTACATATGTTAAAATCTCGTACATGGCATGCCATGTCACTATCTCCAAGAACTTTTGACCCACATGTCAGCTTCATGAAATGACTCATGGACCAATCTGACATTTCCATGTATTTTAATGTTTCCCTCTGAGGCCAAGCTATGTCAGCCGAGGCTAACATACCCCATTCCTTAGCCTCGAGCCTAGATGCCTAGGACCATCCTCTAGTGCACCTCAGCACCATCGGTTCAACTGAGCAACTCTGTATCCGAGCATGTCCCCAAGTCCGTTATCTCCAGTGATATTGCCAAAAAGCATCTTGATTCTCATGTCAGTCCAGGTCAGGAGCAAGGCCTGGGACCTTTGGGGATAAATGGCTTGAGTCTTGACAGCTAGAGTCAAGGGTTTGTTAAGGATCTCATCTTCCTCCAACAAAATACTTACACTTAGAGAAAGAGATCTCCACAAGAGTACAACTCTAGACCATGACAAAGACGGATGGCGTGCTCCTTTCTCTGCTATACTTTAAGAATATTTTAGACTGTTGCTATAAGTTATAACCATGAAGACCTTTTGAAAATTTTGGTATTAAAAATGGCCTTTACCTCCATGATGTCAAGCTAAGGAAAGCGAATCACCTTTCCTCTTGTTTCTACTCAAGCATATGACATGGTGCATTCAGGTGAACTGTCATCCAAGGCTGGACTCTCTTATAAATAGGTCACCACCCCCATGGTTACATACATATAGGGCCCTTCTCCTCCAACTAGTTTGGAGAGTTTGATTCTCTATTTCTACTCTCTTTCCATCCAAGACCGGTTCAACTCCTTTGGCAGGCTTTCTTCATCTATATGTTTATCATAATTTCTCAAAGGGCTCCACAATCAACTTACTCCTGAAGCATCAGAGTAGTACTCACTTTGCATAGTGTCTCCTTAAATGAGTGGCAAGCCTCCCTCTGACACCCACTCAGTCTTAGCCCGTTGTTCAACTGGGGGTTGACCAGCTCAGCTATATGTCTGATAGTCTTTCTAGTATGCATCAGGCCCAACAATTCACATTTGAGAGCCTGTTGGCTTTACAAAGGGGCCACATGATCCCACCACCATCAGCTTAACCCATAACTCTTCCCGCTCTAACTGATTCTGGTTGGGAGCCCTCTATGTAAATCCTCTGCCTCCTAATGGGAACCACTTAACCAGAGGCCCTACTCCTCTGGTCTCCTCAATCGAGGGTCCCTCCTTGTGGATGGCCTCCATTGTCTTCCCTTAGATTCTCACACAGCTCCTTCCGTCAAAACCTCAACTTACCTGGAATCAAGTTAAGGATCACGTCCGAGCCTTCTTCCCGCAAGAGAGCTCATCCGTCCCCGTGGGCTCCAACCTTGACCTTCATCCAACATCCACCATACCCCCATAAAAATTGTGAATATGCCCTTTTTGGAGGGCATATTCACAATTTTTCCTTTTCGCAAACAAGGCTTATACTTGGTACATTAACCTTCCTTGGGTTCCGTCTCCTCTTGAGAAGACAGTGTCAAGAAGTTCCATGCAAAGCAACATCTATGACAGGGATTTTGCTGTGTCCTGAATTTTCCAAAATATTTGTTTCCCCTCAATTCTGATGGTGGAGATATCAGCAATTGCTAGCTGATTCACATGAAGTGATGGTCTGTGATGTGTAATTTAAGAATAATGTGGTGTTCTAGTAATGAAGTGCTGTTATATTTATTGAGAGAAGCATACCAAGCCGTATTCTGGTAATAACGAATTGCTGCATCCTTGGATATGGAAGTGCCGAACAGGCTTGCAAAATCACAATGTCGTACGGACTCTTGCGCCCAGTTTCTTTTAACAGCATTACCAAATTTTCATTCCTCTCCAATAGACCAAGCCTTCTGCCAAAAGAAGACATCACTTTACAAATGATCTTTGAGGAAAGTACAACCTTTTCAATTCAGCACTTGGGAGGGTGTCAACCAAAATCTATTTTTCTACCAATTTAGTGAATCCACGTGTGCAAGAAGGGCTTTCTTCCAACTAAATTCCAACCGCTTGTATCGGTCATACCACTTGGGAGTAAATCAATATGTATAGGTCATAGCCGTAGATATGCTCAATATGCAATATATATTCAAGACTTCTCTCCATACCATGCCCAACTTTTTGATGCATATCCCAATATCCTAAGATTTAGGTTTAAGATGATTGATGCTTGGATATGCACCCGCACCTGATACACATACAAGAGTCCGTGTAAACATAGCTTCTAGGTGCAACTTTCTTCCTTTCCTTCCTTTCTTTTTTTTGTTCCCCTTTTAATTGATTTCTTTTCTTTTGTTCTTTGTGGTTCATAATACATATTACACTAGTCAATGAAGATTCTATTAACAAATATGAATATCAGAAAGAAAGTCAAAAAGTAATTGGGGGAGGATAATTTGGTTTTGTATGTTTATCAAATATATATAAATATATTCATATTCTAATATACTAACAAATTCAAAGTAAGGTTTTTTTTTTTTTTTTGTGTGTGTGTGTGTGTGTGTGTGTGTTGGTCTCAACACTACATAGCTAAAATATTCTTGATGCACTTGACACTTTACAGTTTCATGTCTCTTTAAGCTCGCTTATATTGCATTTGATACTGATATTTTGATCCATGGTATGAAGTTGAGTGTGATCATTCAATGTACATGAACAAAATTATTCTTCTTTTGCCTTTAAAATTGCTATTTATTCCCTTTATTATTTGAGCTTCTTCTTGAAGTCAACAAATACAATCTGTGTTTCTGGGTTTGGATGGCTGATATAGTTTTGGTATGCCATTAAGCTGACATTTATGTGAAACTTTGCTTGCTTGTCCTAGCAATCAAATGTCTGTTGACTGCAGAACCGTTGGCCATTTCTTATGCTAACTTTAGTTTATAACTTTCAGATAGCTTATTTATTTGATAATATGGAAATATGATTTCAGGCTTCACCCATTTCTATTGAGGGCAGGCAAGCTGTTGTTGAGATAAAGAGAACTACCACTCGAGGCAAGTGAAAGTTTATCAGCTTTTTGATAATTTTTTTCCTCTGTTACTTCCAATGTAAAAAAATTGACAGTTAATTTATAATCTATTAAAAAAATGAAAAATCATGAAAGGCAAAACTTGTTGATGGTTGACAGTTGGTTAAGAAGTTGAAATGATAGTTTTGGATGCTGCTGGTTCTTGCAGTTGGCAGTGGGAGAGGTAGGTTTCCTCCTGTGAGAGGAGGGTTTCGAAGCGATAGTTTTAGGGGCCGCAGAAACTTTGCTGGTGGACGGGGCTATGGAAGAAATGAATTTGGGAACCGGGGTGACTTTTCAGGCCGAGGTAGAGGTCCAGGTGGACGCAGTGGAGAAGGTTATCAGCAAGGAAGAGGGAGAGTTGGTCATCGAGGTGAATTTAATCAGAATGCCGTTTTAGCGTGAAGAAGTGCATGTAGAGATTTTTTGACACCAATTTTTGCCGAGTGTTGTTTTTCTTGCCATGATCAACACTTGAAGGTTAATGACTTAATCGTAGCGACTTCATCAGAAAGTTAAGAAGGTTTCTGACTCTTGAGTCGGGGTTGGCTGGAGAAAGGCATTCGCTGTAGTTTCACGTAATTCTTTTCTAAAGAATTTTGTGTAGGGTGGTGGCCTTTCCTCACAGGGTAGATTGTAACTCTACCGAATCTTCATGTCATTTTCTGGTTTATGATAGTAATTCTCTCATTGAAGTTGAGAAATTGTAGATCTAAACTGTTCAGTAGATGACGATGGATATCATATGGGTTTTTGTTTTTTGCAGTTGCTTTTGTTTCTTATGATGATGACAAACCTTGCTTGGATTTAGACTAGGTCAGTCAACGGATCAGATTTAATCTCAGAATCCGATCGGAAAAAAAATCAAAATCCTTTAATGAATATTTGCCTCGAAAATCGGAGACAAATATTGGTAAAGAAATATTTTTTTTTTATTCAAATGAAAACAAAAACTTGTACCGGTGGTGTCGATAGATCTTAATAGTTGAATTTTCATTAAATTTTAATTTTTAATTATTAAGATTTATTGGTAGTTTATTCAATAAGTTCTAATTATCATAGTATCTATTCGATAATAAGTTAACTTATTAGAATCTATACGTAAGTTTTCTGTGTTTTTAAAGTATATAATTTAATGATTTGAGTTAAAATTGAAATACAATAATATTAAAATCAGACATCTTAAAATAAAGTAGTTTGTTTCAATTTTTTTATTACAGAGAAATCTCTAATTTTTTTAGCTGAGTTGTGTGTAAAAGGAAGTAAAAAAATTCGTATAATAACACAACATCAAGTACAATAATACAAGTTGCAACAATTAAACTTTTAAAAAATTAAAAAAGAAGTGTGACTTATATGTATTTTTAAATAATATAAATATTTTTAATACTCAAGTTGAGGAGTCAAACACCCCGTCCCGCTCTGCTTCGCTGCCAACCCACTATGGGTGAGAAGGAATAAAAGAAATTAAATTAAATAATTTATACTTTTAAGACTGCCATAATATATATACAATAATGCTACGGACCATTAAATTTTTACTACAATATTATCACTACTGATGTGACAAGTAAAAATAAAAAAATAAAAACAAAAATTAAGACACAAAATATATGTGGCAGTAGGTGGGATCCACTGCCACATCTTAATGCAACCACTAATTAGTGATCTGCATCATTTTTCAATATATATATGGATAAAAATTATACTATGATATGAGATTACGTGTCATTTTTTTTTTTTTTTTTTTGTTATTTCAATCATTTGTTTGGCCTGTCGGTCAAAGTAGTATTTAACGTCCGACTTTTCTTAAGGGGTTCCAAGTAAAAATTTGAATTTTATGTTATTTGAAGTGACTGATCATAAATTATGTTGGTTTGTTTTTTAAGATTTATATTTAAAATGTTATAAATTAATTTGATAATAAATATTATTTTTTGAAAGAATAGAAATAATTTTTAAAAATTTAAAAATATATATTTTTTAATATATATTTTTATCAAATTAATTTATATTTTTTAAAATAAATTTAAAATAATTTAAAAAAAATCAAATCAAACCCCACGCATGTCATTTTTAAAAATGATGTGGTTACAGATAATAGAATGGGTTGGGAATGAATTAAGATTTTTTTATGTTTTTTTATCAATAATAATTTTATTGTGATAATTTTATTATTTAAGTTAAAAATTAAAATGACATCAGTTTGAAATAATTAATTTATAATAAAAAAATATATGACATCATTATTTTACTTTAATTTTGAACTTATGCTGGTGAATAATAATCTTTACTAACATGTCTTTCATGAAACAAAATAATGGTTGAGAAAGCATATCTAATTTTTAAAAGAGATAGGTTGCATTTCGTAATTCAGATTTTCTAAATCTATCCCTAATAACATGATTAAAACCTATGTGAAGCAATCTCATACTTTCATATTTTTTTCTCTTAATTTCACATTATTAAAGGTGAAATTGAAGGGATAAAATAAAGGGAATAAATAATTTTTCTTCTTAAAAAAATAATTACATTACAAAAAAAAAATTACAAATAAAATATAAATTAAAAAGCGCTGAAATGATAAATTCATTTTTAAATCTTTTTTAATATTTTATCTAAAATGACGTGATTAGACAATATCTTCGACTTTATCACCACTCTTGTTTTGATCTTGTTTTGAGTAATGTTATGTATCATAAAAAAAATATCATAAAAATTATCATAAAAGATTCTTCATCATAAGATTACACATACATAAAAATAACACACTAATCAAAAGATAAAAAATCTTCATAAAATATTTCATGATATTTTCTTTATGATGCTTAGTATTCTTCCTCTTGTTCCACTTTCATCTTCCATCTCTCTAACGGCTTTCCTTGTTTCTTTGCAGCAACCCGAGTCTCTCTCTTCATCCCTTCTCTCTGTTCCTCCTCCTCCGCAATCACCACCACTGACAGCGGCATTGTCTACCAAGACTGCCACAAGCACACCTCCGCCGTCTATACCCTCAAAGTAGTCCACGGTGACATCGCGTTTGATCGACGATTCCGCCAAGAAACAAGTCGCTAGGTGGTGGATTGATCTGGACTCCGCCGTTGCTCAGTTGTACATCGTGATAAAAAACCCCTTCTCTTTCTCTCTCTCAACATATTTGGATCTGAGTAACTCCATAACCATACACATTCATGCATGCATGTATGTATATATGTGTGTGTGTGTTAATCTGAAACTTTGATGATGGTGATTGTGCGTGTCAATTTCCAACCACACTACCAATCAAGCACTTAGCTTCACACTACCAATCAAGCACTTAGCTGGAGAGTATCGGCAGAATAGATTAAACCTGAATGACCTGTCAACAAAAAGAAGAGATTCCGGTGGTGGTTCGTCCACTCGGGGCACTCCGACGATTAAGTTAATTATCTCTCAAAGATAGTAAAAATGTTTAACTCAATATTCAGAGCATAAAAAGTATACCTTATGTCTCTCTTTTGTAGCCAACATAGTCCTAATCCCAGTAGAAGCCTAGCTTCATTGGATTCTGTCTCATTGTTAATCTTGGACTCCCAGTTAGACTGGGATAAACTCACTAAAAGTCTTATCTTTTGCCAAACTGAAGTCCTCTCTCACTCTAGGACTCTTGTCCCTTATCCGCTTATCCCAGATTTCGATTTCTTTACAGATAACCTCGGCCTAGCCGAGATCATCTCGGCGTCATGACCAAGACACATGGCACCTCGGCTGGCACTTCGGTGACACCTCGGCCACGTGTTATCATTCAAAAATTATGTCCCCACAACTGCTCCCTAGGTTCTATTACCTCGACATCCTGAGGTGATGGAACCTATATCATTTCTTCCATTTAGCACATCGGCTAAGCTCACTCCATTATTCATTACCGAGGTCATCACCCGTCGACTCAATATGACCAAGACCTATAGTCTGCTTTCATCAATACCTTAGAACCAACAATCAAGTTTGTTCAAGTTTCTCAACCGAAACCATCCTCCTAGCCGAGGTATTTGCTTCATTAAATCAAGAACTCCAAGAGTTTCATCACGCGTATGAGCTGGTACGCACAGTATTTCAACCGTTTCTGCCACGCGTTTTTCCCCTACTGAGCCGTGTCTAATACGCGCCATTAAGTTGCCTCGCATCTGCGTACATCATCTGACAAGCACGTCGTCCTAGGCACACTAATTGCTATTTTGCCGCCATTCTGCGTGTTTGATCAAAATCACTTCACTCTCTCCATCTTTTTCCTTCTGCATCTTCGTTCTTGTTCAAAATTTCTCTTTCAAATCCTCCTCGTGAAGCTTTCTGCAACCAATTTCACTCTCTCCCTCCGGCGAGACTTTCATTGCACTTCTTTGCTTACTACCACCATCTGACACCGGCGTACTTCACACCAGCCTTTTTGTAATCTAAACAATCATTCTTCAATGTTAGGCCGAAGTGTCTTCTTTCCTTATCTGAATGCATACTTTAATTTCTTCTTTCAACGTGGTTGTATGTGTCTTCTTTTTACTCTTATATGATTCTATACTTAGAATAATTTGCATATCTTTCAAGATACACCTTAACTATGCAATCTCCTCGGGGTATAACACCTCGATTGTACCTACTAATCGGTTTACCTCGGCTTTGACCTAACACTTGAAAATATTTATCATAATATTTCCACAAGTGTTACTCACAACTTGCCACTTTACTCAAGTCCTCTGTCTTCTATTATTGCAGCATAATCTTGATTTAACTTTAACTTGTAAATTTTTCTCAAAATTTCAACAAGTGTTAAACCATCTTTCTTTAACATAACCTCGGCTTAACTTCAACTTGTAAATTTTCTCAAAATTCAACAAATGTTAAACCATCTTCATCGGCTTAACTTCTACTTGTAAATTTTTCTCAAAATTTCAACAAGTGTTAAACCATCTTCCTCGGCTTAACTTCAACTTGAAAATTCTAACTCTCAAGCATCATTCTCCAGCCCTCTGTCCCCTAATATGAACTTAAGTTCCACTTGGGTTCTCATTAAGCATGTGGCTTTGACCTTGTCGCCGAGGTCAGATTCAAACAAAAACTGGCCGAGGTTGCTAGCCTTGGTCACTTTGTTAATCTGACTGGTATGCACCTGCCTCTCTTCTGTGTCTGATTTTGCCGATGTGACAAGTCCAGGTTAACCCAACTTAGTTCAACTCTATTATATACAAGTAAAGTTTTTACTCTGCCATATAATAAGTCTAAGTTATTCGTCATGTTTCACTTAGAAACATCGCCAACTTGGTTCAACTCTATTATATGCAAGTAGAAACTCTGACATATAATAAGTCCAAGTTATTCGTCATATTTCAATCAGAAACATCGCCAACTTGGTTCAACTCTATTAAATGCAAGTAGAAATTCTGCTATATAATAAGTCCAAGCTATTCGTCATGTTTCAATCAGAAATATCGCCAATTTGATTCAACTCTATTATATGCAAGTAGAAACTTTGCCATATAATAAGTCCAAGTTATTCATCATGTTTCAATCAGAAATATCGCCAACCTGGTTCAACTCTATTATATACAAGTAGAAACTCTGCCATATAATAAGTCCAAGTTATTCGTCATGTTTCATTTGGAAACATCGTCATAGGACTGGTCGGTCCTATCGCATAGATTTCAAATTAACAAAAATCAAACTAACACTTTATTGCTTTAGCTGATATGCCCCATTGCTGGTAACCTTTCTCAGGATAAGGTCCCCTATCCTTG